AAAGGAAAGAAAGAAAGAAAGAAAGAAAGAAAGAAAGGAAAGAAAGAAAGAAAGAAAGAAAGAAAGAAAGAAAGAAAGAAAGAAAGAAAGAAAGAAAGAAAGAAAGAAAGAAAGAAAAGAAAAGAAAAGGAGAGGTTGGAAGGAGAGGAGTTTAACCTGTAGATTAAAAAACACTCAAAAGAAAAAAACTGGCCAAGACTAAACTTGACATCTAGGGATGCACAGGTAAATGATAAAACCATAAAGAAACATCAGAACATTGTTACTATAAAAGCCAGGACAGTGGTTCTTCTAGGGGGTGGGAAGGGGTTGTGATTGGAATGGGGTAAATGGAGGGGTTTCTAGAGTGGCAAAATTCAAATTCTTGACCTGGGTGATGGTTTCAAAAGGATGAGCCTTATAATAATTCATTAATCTAGATGTTTGTTTTATGTCATTTTTCTACACTTGTGTCTTGTTGGTTTTTTTTTTAAAAGAATAAAAAGATAAAAAGAAAAGTGTAAAAACCAAAAACAGAAATGTATCAGAACTTTCAGGGGCTATCTAAGGGAGAAAATTAGTAGATTCTGACAAGTGGCAGTACGTGTAAGAATGTTAGCCATGTATCTTTGCCCATCCCATCAAGGTGGCTTGGTTCATCCTGCTAATCTCTCTAGTTATTCATCGTAAAAGCATATAAACAGAAAGGGTTCAGGACATTTTCTCAGAAAGAGAAAAGGAAGACTGTATCCATCCCATTCAGAGCACCATTTTGTAACAGATTCTACAAGGTTCCGGACCTATAATGATGAGTAAGCCTCAGTCCCCAACTCCACGGAACCCACAACCAACCTCAAGAAAAAAAAGAGCCTCAAGAGATGACTAATCATAGAGGGGAGAGGGGTGGGGGGATGGGTTAGCCTGGCGATGGGTATTGAAGAGGGCACATTCTGCATGGAGCACTGGGTCTTATGCACAAACAATGAATCACGGAACACTACATCAAAAACTAATGATGTAATGTATGGTGATTAACATAACAAAAAAAATTTTTAAAAAAGATGACTAATCAAAAGATATAGAGGCTAAAATCCCTGAGGGCTCTAAAAGAGGAAAAAAGATCTCAAAGACTGAGCAACGTAAACAAAATGAACCTACTCAGGTCTACAGGTCCGACACCAGGAAACATATTTAATGAATTAGTTACACGGTCCTCATTTGACCTACCCCATGTAAAACAGCTTCCCACTCCTCAGTGATTTTTCTGAAAAGCAATTTTATTTGTCAATAATATCAGCTGATCTCAGGAGAATGTGATATGGGAGGGCTACATGTGCAATGCAGGCTGGAGAGTGTGGGTGATATTCGCATTCCTAAGCTGCATGGGGGGGGTGATTCACTTAGTACTACATTTCATAACTTCTATACACGTTACTTGTTTTTTGTGTGTTATCAGACACTGCGTAACTTAAAATCTAATAAAAATAGCGGTTGATGGGGCGCCTGGGTGGCTCAGTTGTTAAGTGTCTGCCTTAGGCTCAGGTCATGATCCCAGGGTCCTGGGATCGAGCCCCACATCGGGCTCCCTGCTCCTCCCTCTCCCACTCCCCCTGCTGTGTTCCTGTTCTTGCTATCTCTGTCTCTGTCAAATAAATAAATAAAATCTTTAAAAAAAAATAGCCGTTGAATAGCACAATTATAAAGTAATGTTAAAGGGTAAAATTTGAAAAGTGGCCCCTTCCTAAGTTAACTAACCTGCTTGTTACAAGTTGATATTAGAATCAAAAGAAAAACATATAAAGTTTTGAGGCCTGGAAGAGAGCCCTGCTGCTACTTTGTTACCCGTAAATATGACCTATGTAGCAATAATATTAATAGACAGCAATTGTTATTATTAAAAATACTACTATTAGTTCAAAACACCTGTACAGCCCTCTACAAAGCACATCCTCAAACATATGTCTCATTTGATTTTCACAAAAACCCTACACAGGAGAGAATGCAAAGTTCCTCAAAAGGACACGCAGGGTCCCTCAGAAAGCACACCTAATGTAGATGACGAACGACTCATTCTCACTCTGCCATGGTTTCCTGCCTCCTCATTTCCACACATTTCTCTACGGGAAAACAAAGGGGGTGCCAACAGCAGTTTAACCACTTACCACCTGATTACTAGGTGCCAAATTTTACCCACATTATGTTGTCTAATTCTCCCAGCAGTCCTGGAAGGAAGGAGTGTGACTGTCCGCAATATGACACATGAGAAAACAGGGTCTCAGAAAGCTGCACTCACTCACCCCACATCGAGGCGTTAGAACCAGGACTAGAATCCAGGCCCGTCCAGCACCAAAGTCAATGTTCCTAAGCGCTGTATGACATCATCTCCAGCAAATAGAAACCCTTCCTGAAAGCCCTGTCTGGCATATTCCAACACTGATTATGGCAGTGCTCACAAATACCCCACTCTATATGACACACTTACCATCTGGATTTTGGGAATCGATTCCCTCAGAAGGAAGATCATGTCCTTTAAGTTCTCTGAGCCAATGCTTTCTGACAGTTCATAGAGCAGGTTTCTAAGACACACATCCAGAGAGACAAATAAAACCTCACACTTGCAGAGGACAGCATAGTAAATCAAGTGCTTTTTTTATAAACATTCTCTTTCATGCGAATGATCACAACCTATGAGTAGACAATTTTGAATCCCATTGTACAGATTCAAAACTAAAACTCCAAGCTTTAAGTGGCCTATTACATTAAGATAACACAATAAGTGGGCACCGGGGTGGTGCAGTCGGGTAAGTCCCTGACTTGATTTTGGCTCAGGTCATGATTTCAGGGTTGTGAGATCAAGCCCTGCATCAGGCTCCACACTGAGCAAGGAGTCCGCTTAAGATTCTCTGTCTCCCTTTCCCCCACCCACCCCGCACCCCCGTGCGCACACCTGCTCACTCTCTCAAAAAATAAGATTAAAAATAAAATAAAATATAAAAAGATAACACAGTAAGCAGTAGAGGCAGGCTCAAAGATCAACTAAACTGTGTTATATATTTGAAAGTTGCTAACGAGTGGGTTTTAAAAGTTCTCATCACAAAAATAAAATTTATAACTATATGTGGTGATGAATGTCAAATTTACTATGGCCATCATTTCACAATATATATATATATATCAAATCATGATGTTGTACACCTAAAACTATTATAATGTTATAGGTCAATTATATCTCAATTACAAATAAAAAAATCTTAAATAAATAAAATCATGTTATCTAAGGTCTGACCCATGATAGACCAGATGCTTGTATGGGTAAAATGTCTGTATTTTACCTCTCTGGGCTTCACCCAAAAATGTATGAAAATTTGAAAGTGGACATGGCATAAATGATGTCCTTCCCTACCCCAGAGACATATCTCCTTTTTCATTTTGCTTATTTGGCTGCAAGAACACATGCATTCCCTCTCTTTGAGTCCCCACAGTGACTCACAGGCAGGGCTGTCTGGGAACGGGAGGGCAAAAGGAAAGTGAAGGCCTGCTTTGTTGAGGCAGGCTTCCTTTGGCGGTGAGAAGCCAACCGAGGGAAGCCACTGCCAGGCCCAGAGTGGGGCTTTGAAAACCCTTGCTGACCTCCCAACCTCTCATCTCACGAGTACCTGCTGCAGAGAGATCTCCTGGTTTAAAAGCACTGTGTCATCCGAGAACGTAGGTAAGAAAAAGATCTTAATCCCAGCCTCCCTTCTTTTTTTTTTTTTTAAGTTTTTTTTTTAAGATTTTCTTTATTTGACACAGAGAGACAGCGAGAGAGGGAACACAAGCAGCGGAAGTGGGAAGAGGGAGGGAGAAGCAGGCTCCCCGCTGAGCAGGGGTTCTATCCCAGGGCTCTGGGATCATGACCTGAGCCAAAGGCAGACGCCCAAGGACTGAGCCACCCAGGTGCCCCCCAGCCTCCTTTCAAAGCCCAGTGGCCCGAATGAACACTAACTAGATGGAACACCTTCCCCCCAACTCCGTCTTGATCACAGACCCCTCCTCACCTGAACAGAGAGACCCTCCCTCGGGTAGGCAGCAAACTCTCCACTTGCTCTTTGCTTTGGTTGAGGTACCGCAGCAGCGATTTCTGCTTGATTATGTAGAGGAGTTCCGCTAGGAAGAAGGGATCTTCCTCACTCAGCAGCTCCTCTTCCAATAGATGATCAAATATGTCTGAGGCCGAGCTGGACTTCTCCAGCTGCCTGTGGGAGATGCAGTCTCGGCAGAGAAACTTTAAGCCCTCCACATCTTGGTTCCCCAGCTTTGAATCAATAGTCAGAAGCTTCCCAAGGAAGCTCGATTGACCATTATCATCTGAACGGAAACCCGAATTTTGATCTTGAGATGTCATGGCCAGCCTGAAAGAGACAGGTGAGGCAGCACATGAGAGAGGAGGTATACACAGAACCCCAACTTCCCAGGCCTCCTCCGTTCCAGGCATAAGACTTTCCCAAAAGTGCTGAAAAATAAAAATTCCTGTGAGCTTGCTTCAAAAACCAAGAGTCAAAAAAATGAGCCCAACACTTGCGTGGTGACCCTTTTGGAGGTCTGGAGGGAGCTTTTTTTGGAACCCAATTTACCTTCATTTCTCCCAAATCAAAATGTCCCTGGTGAGAGCTAGTGAAAAGGGAGGATGACAAAGCACAATCTCTCTGTTAGAACTCTTAATTCATTTCCACCAAATGGCAGAAATAGTGCTTAGATTTACACCTTTCATTTTAGAAATAAAGCAGTCTGGGGATTTATATTTCAGAAGTGTCCACTAATCCAAGAACAACCATATCACACAAAAAGAGAAGCCATAATCCTAGACCCCAAAAGAAAGGGTGGTTTTGGACAAGAGTTGCTCAAATCATTAAAGGAAGTCACAAATTCCCTAAATTAGTATTTCCACCCGATCAGTTCATAAAGTTCATATGGTATTTTCTATACTGAATTCCATTCTAATCAGAGGAGCAATGAACGAATAAAATTTTTCAGCAAAATTATTCATTCTATAAGGCCTCAAGGTATATATTCCCTTTGCAAGACGTGGCTATTTAGAAACAAGGAACCACTTTCCAAAGGAAGGACAATATTAACAAAAAACAACATCAGTAACGAAGAGTGGTTATATCTAGGTGGTATAAATACAAATACTATAAATTCTCTTTTTGGCTCCTGTCTGAGTTTCTCGGATTTTATGCAATGAACACACATAACTTTTATTGTTAGAAAAATAAAATAGAGGGGTGTCTGGCTGGCTCAGTAGGTAGAGCATGTGACTCTTGATCTCAGGGTTGTGAGTTTAAGTCCCACACTGGGTGTGCAGCTTACTTAGAGAGAGAGAAAGAGGGAGGGGGAGACAGAGAAAGAAAACAAAAAATGGTATTTTTAATGTGATCTTCCATGAAGTCTGCCCTTCTAGTAGTAGTCTGTGATACCAGAAACCAAATGAATGGGTTCTTGGAGACGGATTCCAATTCTAAGGTAACCTACGTTTGCCCTGCAGTTTCCCAAAAATTCCAATCTGTAGTCGGCCAGACTTTGTCTCCACTTGAGTTGGCCAGACTTCAATGAGTCCGCTGGACCTTACATTTATGGACTAGCATATTTCCGCCTGTAAAAGTCTGTGTTGGAGCTTTCCTACGGCTTTTTAAACCTTCGTTTTCCCTGACACGGCTAGTAAATCCAGGCAGAAATAGTGCCATTGCCCACGAGAGTTTTTGCAACACAGTTTAGTCTGTGACTAAAGCAAGGAACAAGGCTAGAGTGCAAGACCTGAGCAGGGGAAAGGTGCTAATCACATACCTTCAGATCCAATTCCGTTGATCCTCTGGAGGTAAACGGTTCCGGGGGAAATTGCCTGAAAATAAAGTTTTAAAGAAATTAGAATCCTCTGCGTAATCCAAGTTCCAGAGAAACTCCCATTTGCGCGGGAAGAGAACCCAAGACTTCCTGCCTCTGCAAGTGAAAACTGGATCTCCTCTTTGGGTAGCCTTACATATTTCCTGCCTACGTCAGAGCTGCCTCGCCTGCCTTTTCCCCCTCCCTCTTCCAGGTTTAGGATAACACTGACAAAAGAGCGCCTCCTACAGGCAAGAATCACAACTTTCCACAACTGGACAGCCCGGGATTTTCCCAGGTTAAACCAACGGCTCCTACAAATGTACTTTTGGAAGGCACTAAGTGTTCTAGCAATTCCCTTGGATCACTGAGGGTGAATCAAAGAAGAAAGAGAGAGGGAAGGAGAAATAAAGAAAGAGAGAGAAATGAAAGAAAGAAAGGAAGAAAGAAAGAAAGAAAGAAAGAAAGAAA